CGGTGGTATCCAGCTGTGTTACCTAGGAGAAAGATCAATACTTCCAGGCCAATATAAACAAGACAACTGCTATTTTTCCAGCACTGGGCCAGACATGTCACCCTTCACTAGGTGACCTTTTGTATCATTCTTTGTCAATCAGCCATAAAAGACTGACCCTATTCATTGACACCATGCCTGAAAATATGTACATAAAACTGACCTTAAAGGTTACTATCTGTAGTTTTCTAATAAAAATTTTTCAAAGAACTCCACACTGCTTGGGAGCAAAGCAGTATGTCCTGTATTGCAATGCAAAGGCCATTGCCATAAACACCTCTGCCATTCTTCTTCTCCCTGCCTACTAGACACATACCGCTGGAAGTGCATGAGAGCTGAAAGATATCATGCTTGTCACAGCTGTACCTGTATAAATATCAGATATCCCCTTACAAAAGGTGTGATTAATTACACAAGCAAGTATTTCAGAGAAAAAAGGTTAGTGCAGCAATCTGCTAATGAGGCTGATCAATTCAAACACTTTTTCCTTCCTCAAAACTTCATTCTAGGTTGTTTACTCTGCTCTCTGAAATTAAGCAGTTGTGTCTACACAGCTAACATATCTTTGATTCTCCAATTCACTGCACCTTTGGATTGTAGTGGAGGTAAATATTTGCAGCTGGAAAGAAGACAGCGGAGAGTTTAAATGTAACAATTACTATTTCTGTTTATTCCAGTCCATTTCTCTGGTAAAATGGAAAGGATGAGATTAGAATCTTCCATGTAGAAGATGTCTTTTGGGTTCTGAGCAACACAGCGCAGAAGGCCCAGCTTCCTGACTAGGATTTCTCAGATACTGGTACACCTCACAGTCACTACCACGACTCACATGCTTTATTCTGGAAACCTTTAGGCAGAAAGACAGCATTGATGAGCATGGTCTGAGAATCTGAGCAATATTTTCTGCAAGCATAACTACATACAGAATGCTGATGCCATGTTGAAGGAATAAATGAGGGGAAAGTTTAAAAATAATAAATATTTTTTTTTCAGCCTGCACTGATTATGGTAGCTGTCATTCTCCAAAGGAGCCTGATGAGTCCCTATTGGCTATCTCTAGCTTCCCAATTTCAAGACATTATCTGGTGACACTGCTAGTTTAGTCTGGCATTGCCCCTCAGGATACAGCTGAAACCAATCAGTTAAGTAACTAGGCAAAGGGTAATCACATTGAGGTTAAAAAGATAACAATGGATATTTAAAAAGAGCTGAATACACAGTTTGCAGAAAATGGAAATGATGGAAAATGACAACTCCTCATGGGCAGATTCAGAAAGAGGGGGTAGAAAAAAATAGGCTTTTTTAATAGTTATTGGAAGAAGGGCTAGTATTTTTAATTCTGACACTGAACTATTGCAAGAATAGTAAAAAAAAGACTAGAATCTGTTTAAAAGTCCAAATAGGGAATTACCTCTAAAGTAGGCACATAACCTTGCCTGATAGCGCTGCAATCCCTGCGAAGCCTGTATGAAGAGTTTTGGCTTGCTCTGGATCTTTTCTTTGCCTCTACCTACAGTAAATGACATTTTTCTTCAGCTATGGATTGGTGGGTTTGTACAAATACAGAGGGCGTTTTCTACATGATTCCTGTACATTCAGTAATGATGTCCCAGAGTCTTTTATTTTAAGTGAAAGCTGTAGAAAAGTATAGGTACACCAGAGATGTATTCGACAGACAGAGCCTGAAAAAGCTGTAAGGATCTTAAATCTCCTCTTGATTTCATGTGCAACACAAATTCTGCAGCAGTGAGTTAAGTCCTCTGACCACTTACAGTGATATCCGTTTTTCTGTCATTGACTTCCATAGACCCTGATCTTAATCCAGAACTGTCCAAATATGACAAAAGGACGACCATTTTTTCCTTGGATTATCAAGTGCAAAAGTGAAAAATCTCAACAAGAGTGCTTGTGTATAAGGTCCTGAATCAGTCCTGACAATCAGCCCAAATAGTTTGGATGAATACTTGTAAGTACGTCTGATCAGGAATGTTTTTCAAAAGCAGTGTTCTTCATAATATGCAAAATGATTTAACACCACTGGTATGTCTAACCTCTCATATTATTTTTATTTAGCTTGAACGAATCCCCATAGATGCTTTTGACTCCAATGGATTTGCACCTAGAGGGAATCTGCTCACATATTTTCAAAGGGATTTACAATAAAACATAAAACTCTGAGTCCGTACTATTTTGACTAAATATCTCACTAAATGGGAAGATTCGACTTCATTCCCATCTTTCTCTAAAGCCACTCCATTTTCTAAGATGGCTCCCAAGGAGCAAAGAACTACAGAGCTTCAAAGCAATGGAGAAACACCTGGTTGAACGCTCCAGCAAAACAGCCTTATTTTGTGGTCTACTTTGCTATGATGCTGTAAAATGGAACAGAGAAGGGTAAAAAACGCACGCAGTGGAGGAAGGTGGAAATTACATTTAATAGGGCTATAAAATTCTGTCTGACTCAGATCAAATGCTTCTGTCATTGCTGTCAGGCAAAATTATGGCAGATCGGTATTAATGGTGCGTTCTTTTGGATCTATAGTCCTGCTTCTAATATTGATTTGTGGCAATGGGTCAATACAGAATCCTTAAAAAGGTGCAGATATATATGTGTGCATATATGAGTTGTAGCCAGCAATGCTAAATTTGTGTGTGCGTGCACGTGTGCATTTTGTTTCATTTTGCTCCCATTTGCCACACAAACGTCTTTTCAACACATTCGTTATTGTGACAACAGGTTGAATCGGCAATTCACCATCTGCCTAAACAACATTAACCTTCATGCAACCTCATATTATTATTGTTAGGCTTTGTCTGAAATTTAAAATCCTCCTAATATAACCTGGGGGACAACCCTTGCACTTCACATCGTCCCTTCTATCATACACACAACCATCCTTCTCTCGTGCAGTTGGACACTTGCATTTGAGATTCATTTTATTTACTGAAACACGCTAGATTTTTAAGACAGCACTGGTGTGTTAATAACTGCCTTGTACCACTGGACAGTCTTCAGACACTCACAGCCCTCTGTTCCCCTGCCTTTCAGCAGCTGCCACTTCTGAACAACACTGCTGGGCTGCTCAAGTACATTGCCAAATTCCCTTTTCTCTGCTTCTAGAGACACAGGTACGAGATTTGCCAACCACGTGAAATATCGCTATGCTATTCCTACAGAATCTTTTCATAGGACTGGAAGCAGTTCTGGATGTTAAGAGTTTCCACTGAAAAACACAGCAAAGCCCCTCTAGTGGGAGTATTAACACAGCTGGCTGTTGCAACATGAGCATGTTAGGCAGTGACACCACATCCAGCACTCGCTTCTTGACAGCAAAAGTATGGAATGAGACTAAGGAAGTTCAGTGAATGCTGAATATATTGCACATCCATCCTGCCCTTTTCATGAGAGCAAAAAGCCTTTCCATACATCCAAATCCAACCCTCCTGACAGAAAGCTGATTATACATACACTTATAACGTGCACAACTGAATAAAGGATCAGCTTTATTATTTAAAAAAAAATATCTTGCATGAGAGACAGCATTTTAAATCAAAATCCTATTAAAAAACTCTTTCCTGAAAGTACGGAACAGTTTAATAACCTGGGTTACAGCATCTCTGCGCTAATGTTCCAGAGAAGGAGGTGTCTTCCTCGTTTCAAACTACCAGCATGCGTTCAGCTCAGGCCACAGCTGGCACATCTCTTTGCAACTGGCACTCACTGTGAGCACCAGTCAGCTGGGAGAGACTCCAGTTCAGGAGAACTTCCCTGTATACGAAGGGGCACATAAAGCACATGCTTAAATCTGAACACTTGTTTAAGGCCCTTTTCCTCAATCACACCCGAAGCCAAAACTCGTTTTTCCATTACCTGATTTAGAGATGCAGAGGTAGGAACAGAACTCCAGGGACTCTCAGTCCGCTGGAGGGTTCAGAGCCCCACCATCATGGGTTCAGGGCTGTGCACTGCCCTGCACAGCTACTGCCATCTGCTATTGTCCACATATTTCCAAGTCAAGTTTCTTAATGTCATTTGGGCAACGTGTCTCCAACATGACCTCAGATGACACGAGAAGCCCGTTAACAGCTTCACCTTTCATTTCTTGATTTCACTCTTGAAACTGCCAACAGGAAACTGAAGAAGTTTTTCTGAGATTTAGCCATTTCTGCAATATTAAAGGTATCTCTATATAAAACATCTATACACCTATATGTCTGTTAACGAGATACTCAGCTGTAGTTTCATCCAGAAAGGAGAAACCTAGGTTTGTTGCTAAGAGCATTTTTAAAGATAATATTTTGCTATTTTTCATTATTTCTGAGAACGTACTGGTTGTCTGGCTCTCCAGAAACATACAGCCTTTACCTTCTTACGCTTCCTCTCCTTACGGACCACGCTGCTCCATGTTGTTAGGCCTCTGCTCAGTTCTAAACAAACCTTTCCGCTGCCGCTACCAATAACCATCGGCAAAATATTTTTATATATATTCTGTACAATTTACTTTCACCATCCACTACCACTCTGTACTTAACATTCAGAAATTAAGTTGCCAGTGACTGGTTGCCATCCCCACTACCTCTGAAAACTAACTTTTCAGTGTGTGCCTCGGGTGGAATTTTTGCCATGATGAGATGTGAGCCCAGCTGCTCCCATTTTACCCTTTTTTCCCCATGTAATTGCATTGGCACCAGAGAACACTGCTGTGGAATTAAAATAAAAGGTAGCCAGTAGAATCAAGCCCCCAGACACCCTTGGATCTCTGGGGAAGGCTGGATCTGGGTCTGAATTCTGAAATTTCTACTTCTATCTGGTCATGACTGGCGGATTAAGTCTTCCTGCACTTGATAGGAGTCATCACACCTACCACTAATAAGTTCTGCACTGGAAATGCAGGGGCCCCAGTCCTGCAGAGGCTGAATGACATAGCCAAAGATTTAGATACCAGTGATGGTAAAGATGTGTCACTTTGAAAATAAACATCTTTGTTTTGTTTCTGCATACTTGTTTGCTATAAATGCTTTAGCTAAGCCTCAGTAGCTATATTTCACTGGGAGAACATTATCTGTTGACAATTATGCAGTTCTATTAACATCATTGCCTTTTTAATCTATGAAAGGTTACATTAAACAGAAAGAAGGCACACAGGAGACTACAGAAAGGAAAGTACCTACCCTTTTAGGAAAAAAAAAAAAGATTATTCAAATTATCATCCTGACATTTATTTTTATATGAAGGAAAATAGAACCAGAAACATAACAGGGTATTTTGGTGACCTGAACACCAACAGAAAGTAAATTAAAACTCACGCAATAAATGCAAATGACAGGACAGATTCTACTCTCTGCTCAGACATGTTTACTGTCTGACAAAGCACAGTGAAGACTGAGGAGGGTGATCTAATGTATGCTACCTTACTTTAGACTCTCAACTGTCTAAAGAATCTAGGAAAAACAAAAACCACCACTGCTTTGAAGTATTAGTAGTGTATGAAGCCATTTGATGAAACACATCTACCAACCGATATTTATGCCCAGCCCCACACTGGACAAAAATTCCAGCACAATTTCCAGCAGCCAAGCTATTCCTGTTGCAGCGGCTTTGTGGAGAGCAGAGCTGCCCCAAATGCACACATTCCCACAGGCGCAGCCCCAGAAGCACGCATTCCAAACTCATACATCCAAGGGAGCCACCAGGAGCAACCAGGAGGTGCAGGCTTTCTCTGTGCCTGGAGGTGAAGTGTTATGGTATAGATGAAAACACAACTGGTAGAGAGGATTTGCTTATTTTTCTTAATTCACAAAGGAGGAGAAAAAAGGCCCTAAGTAACCTGACAGGTTATACACTCTGAAGACAGTGCTTAGTTCTATCCAGAAGACTCCCTCCTAATCAGGACTACAATGCAAGATTTTCTCAGTGTCCACACACCCCACTGCTTTAGGTGCTTCCAAAGTGTCACCGTTCAGCTGGAGGTGCTGGCCAGCAGCATACGAAGCTCTGGGAAGCAGTAAATGCTGCTCTGACTCACTGAGTACTTGTGTTTTTAATTAACTCTGGGACAAGGGTAGGCAAATACACACAGAAGAACTGTGCGTTCTTCTTTCCAAAGCTGAAATAAACGCACATACCTATTTTTCATCAAGCATAGGCAAAGGACAATTGAGAGAGCAGAGAATTTACTGATGCTTAGAGCACTGCAATTGACTGACTTTCCTACCTTAGAGATCCCATTAGTTATGAGATATCAGAAAAATCTGTTTACGACCATTATCTGTTCAAGTACATCTGGATGGGCTTGTGACCTATAGTTGACTGGGTCCTTGCATCTCTCAAGTACTCTTGGTCTTCCCTTTCCAACGCTGTGCTGCCTCTTGTACACAGTGTAGCAAGGATCTTTAACCGCAACCCAGAAAGC